GTACACTAGCACAGCTCTTATATGAATCTGTGTCGCACATTTCTCCAGAGCTGCAAACAGATGTGTCAACCACATTCCGCTACGTAGTAGTAGGGGCACAATTTGCCCCATTAGCATCCTACCTTACTGTAACACTAGTGCAGAACCGGGTAATAGCACCGGTTCGTAAGGCCCTTTAGTGCCGGTTCGGTAACCGGCACTAAATTGTGGACACTAAAGCCCCCCCTTTAGTACCGGTTCAGCACGAACCGGTGCTAAAGGGCGACCACGTGGCACGAGCCAGCTTCGTGGGCGCGTAGGACATTAGTACCGGTTGGTAACACCAACCGGTACTAAATGTTTGGGTGTGTTTTGGTTTTATTTTTTATTTTTACTTTAATGTTGTGTTTTCAATTTAATTTAGTGATTGTTTCACATTATAATGAGTTGTTAAATTATTTGGTGAATGTACCGCAGATTAGTTTGACTGGATGCGTGGATCCTAGATAAGTCATCAAGTATATGTCATATTCATATTATATATACTTTATCACATAATTAAGTGATCGAGGTAATATGGATATGGCATATACTTGATCACTTAGCTAGAATCCATCCAGTTGAAACTAATATGCAGTTTCTTTCATAAATGATATAATAACTCATCATCATCATCATCATATTAATATAAAAACTCTTGCATCATATATATCATCACCAACGATTTTCATAGCAAAGATATCATCGAGTTCAACATGGTAATGATATTATAAGCATTCATAACACCACAAAAGCAAATTACTCTGTGATCGTTCACAATTTTGCTCCAGTCTTTTACTATTAAGCATTTCTCGCTATTAGAAATCCTGAATGCACTAAAGTGCATTGTAGGATATCTTGGCCGTAAGCTAATAATATTCATGGTACCTTTAGTCTCCATCCAATCAGGCACAACATTCATCAGGAGTCCCTGTTGAAAAACATCGTATAGTAACATACTTAGCAATGAAGTTTAGCTTAAAAAAATAATGTATGCAAAAGATGCACTGAGGAGAAATAGTAGAAATCTTACCATCTTTCCTAAATAGATGTGACCGTAGTTCACTACGAACACTATTGGTCGCACGTTTTGAGTACTAACATTTCTAAGTGCAGGAAAGAAATTTGTCTTGACAGCATCAAGATCCTCAAGCCATGAAACATAATGACTTGTCTCCTCGCAGTTTAGTTCAGCTCCGGGACAGTGGACGGTCCTGTCTACCAAGCGCCGGACATGTTTGCTTGATTGGAAATAAGCTGTCAATATAAATTGAGATCTATTAATTATTCAACTGGTTCAAATAATCTCATATCGAAGACATAAATATGGTTGAGAAACTCACATAATGATAGAACTGGAGGCGTCTGCACATCGACCCAGATGTCTCTATTACCTTCAATATCATCTTCCGGACGAATATCAAAGGTGATAACCATATCAGGCTCAAATGCATAAGCCTTGCATAGTGCTTGCCAAGTTTTGTATTCAAAATAGGTGTATGTGTCTACATTGTATAATTTGACGTTGAAGATATAACCATGCTCGGTCTTCAAGTAAACTCTTTTTACCTCCATAGTTTCGTTAGGACTGAAACCTATCTTATCCAAGACAAAAATTCTTGCATGGCAGGGGATACGCTAGTAGAATAGTGAAAAATTAAAATTAAAAGTTGAAGCAAATTAAGCATAAGTCATGCTTAATTACGAAAAAAGACTTGTCGTTGTGACTTACTGTATCCACTTCGAAGTTCTCATCCAGCTTGATGCTGAAGCGTCTATCATTAACTAGAAAATTTCTGCCGCACAGGCCGCGCTGGTCTTCGCAGTATTCGCACATAATGAAATCGTTTTCGTCGTCAGACAATATTCCTATGTTCATAGGTGAAACATTAAACACTTATTAGTTCTATTAATTCAACTAATTCTGTTAATTCAACTAGTTCAACTAATTATTTGAACTAATTCAACTAAGCACTTACGAAAAATATACCTAATTAATTGAACTAATTCAACTAACTAGTTCAACTAATTAATTCAACTAATTCAACTAAACTAGCTCTATTAATTTTTTTACTAAAAATAAGGTAGCTAGTTCTATATAATAAAATGTTAATTAGATAATGAAATCTCATATAACTAAATTAAATATATATCTAACATATAATTTATATTTAATTCATCTAACATTTGACATTAATATCTAACATATGTTCATATATAGGTGAAACATTAAACACTTACTAGTTTATTAATTCAACTAAATAAACTAGTTCTATTAATTCAACTAAGCATTTACTAAAAATGAACTAGTTCTATTAATTTCTTACTAAAATAAAGTAGGTAGTTCTATATAGTAATATTTTGATTAGATCATCAAATCTCATATACCTAAATTTTCTTACTAAAAATATACTTATTTCTATTAATTTTCATACTAAAAATAAACTAGTTATATTAATTCAACTAGTTCAAATCTCATATATATACCTAATTAATATCTAGCTAATTCGTCTAAAATTGACATTAATATTTAACATATTTTCCATGTAATTCATCTAACATTAACATTGTAACATTATTATCTATGTAATTTATGTAAATTAATCTAAACAACAGAAAATAGAAAATAAGTAAAAACAATGTGTGTGTGTGTGTGTCTGTGTGTGTATGTGTGTGTGTATGTGTGTGTGTGTGTGTGTGTCTGTCTGTCTGTGTGTGTATGTGTGTGTGTGTACGAGCGGGGGGCGGCGGCGTACGGGCGGCAGCGGGCGATGCGACGGGGACGGGCGGCGGGGGCGACGGCGGTGACGGCGACGACGGGTGGCGGGGGCGACAGCGGTGACGGCGACGACGGGCGGCGGGGGCGGCGAGCGATGAGCGACGGGCGCGGTGAAGAAGTTGGATCGAGAAGAAATGGTGGTCAATGAAACTGAATTTCTCGTAAGTGCTATATATACAGGAGGGGTCTTTAGTACCAGTTGGAGCCACCAACCGGTACTAAAGGGGTCGTTTCCCGCCCCTTGGCCTGGCAAAAATTGCCCTTTAGTACCGGTTTGTGTCACGAATCGGTACTAAAGGCCCAATCATTAGTATCAGTTGCAGTCACCAACCGATACTAATGGTTGTGCGCTGCCACCGGCAGTGCACAATGTTTAGTCCCACCTCGCCGAGCGAAGGGCAGCCGCACTTGTTTATAAACCCAGCAGCGGCTGCTCCTTCGAACTTCTCTATATAGCAGGCTTCTGTGCCTAACTAGGGCGCGCTGCCCTGTGAGTCTGCGGGCCCTTCTGGGCCTGCATTTGCACACCCTAGGTCTGGCAGGCCCACTGGGCAACGCCCCAACAAATTTTTTATATAGTTTTTTCTTTTCTGCATTATTTATTTTCTTCTATTTATTTTTGAGTAATTTTTTATATAGTTTTTTTTTCTTTTCTGCATTATTTATTTTCTTTTATTTATTTTTGAGTAATTTTTTATATAGTTTTTTTCTTTTCTGCTTTATTTATTTTCTTCTATTTATTTCTGAGTAGTTTTTTTGTGACCCTCTCTACTCTTTTGCACATGCTATGCGGGTGAAATGATAATTCCATTAGAAATTTCAATATTTTCAGAATTCATTTTGTAATGATTTTCAATTTCAGGGTCATTTAGCTCTCTAAACAATTAGGTAAATGACTGAAAAACAACAAGTGATGTCAGAACATGTTGGAAATTGATGACGTTGCTTTGAATGCTGCATACGGAACAGAAGAAGTCCGGAGTTCAAATAAGTTATTAAAAATAAAAAAGAGGTGCAATGCTGGTTAATTTGCTTCAAGCCTTTCGGAATAGTGCAGACTGCACTGCACATAACTCAGTGCAATCTATGCTATTCCGAAAGGCTTGAAGCTAATCAACGTGCAGGTGAGCATTGCGCCTCTTCGTCATTGTCTCTGCACTCACGGCCTATAAACCGCTCATACTGTCTCTCTCTTGGCGAGGTGGGACTAAAAATCAGCTTACTAAGAAACTCTAGTACCGGTTCATGCCATGAACCGGTACTAAAGGTTTTCGTGGGGCCCCAGCCTGATCACAGCCGCACTGGCCTCATTAGTACCCGTTCGTGGCATGAACCGGTTCTAAAGGTTGCCCACGAACCGGTACTAATGATGCCCGCCGCCTAGCCGTTGGAACCGGCACTAATGGTCACATTAGTGCCGACTCAAATTCAAACCGGCACTAATGTGCTTCACATTTAACCCTTTTGCTACTAGTGTAATGGCAATTCAAGTTGAAATCCAAATTTGGTTGCCCTACTTCGGAGTTTCTTCAATCCGAATGGCTTGAGACTTGAGAGACACAAAAGTTTTTCAATTAGCTGGAAGATTGGACAGTGAGCAGACATCATTGCAATCTTGTATCTTTATCTTTAAATCCTGCGCGCAGCTAGCCAGCTGCAAGCAAAGAACTGTTTTTTATATTTAGCTAAAGCAAAAGGTAATCCTGGCATGGATTGGGAATATGGAAAAGGGAAAGGTAAGGAATAGAACCGCTTGCTTCTAGTCTGTGCAAGGCATTTGTGTGTAAGCACAAGAAATAAGCACCTCACAAGTTTATCCCGCCGTACCATGTAGCACGGCTGTTTTTTCTTGTTTTTGCTCTCCAATCCAGCCAGTTTATAGTGGCACCTGAACGATCTACTTGGCTTCTATCGACCTACAGATTCTCTACATAGTGCCATTTCTTCACTTAACCAAGGTATATATGTAACTAGCTCATCTTACACCTGTACTAAATCTGCTTGTTGAGCTGTAGATTTATCTAAGCTAGCTTTGTTTATCGCTTCTACTTGTATCTCAATGTAGTTAGGAAGTCCGGAACTGATCAACTACTGGTCAACATATTAGTATATATGGAGATTGCTGAAGAGCTGAGTGGTCGATCTTGAGCCCGAAAATGACTTCATCTAGAGGCTAGAGACCGGCAGACCCGATCAATTCATCATGCGTACAGAGGTACTTTTGCACTTACAAATCACCTTTCATTCCAGTCTGCGTGTTATATATATTTTCTATCCATTCAAGCGCAGTTTGCAATATAGATAATTACGGTAGATTTTGGGGTAAAGTTTTGTCTATGCCTGCCAGCATGGTCGTTAGTTAATTTGGATCATGCATGTGTTTATTTTGCAGCTCAGTTAATGGAGCTTAAAAAACAGTTAGTCATGCATCAGAATATTGCCAATAGCCCAATACATGGGTCACCTTATAGCTTGTTTTTTTGTTAGTACTGAATTCCAAGTTTGAAGTTTGGACCGATTCTCACCTCACCTCCCTGTACACATATGCAGGTTATCAAGGCGGACACCATTGATGTGGCCGTCGAAAGGATTCTCGTTGAACTTGGGAAACACACTACAAGCAGCAGAGAGAATGCCATCTATTTTGATGGCTGGGATGGTCTTGGGGCATCTTCCGTCCTGCAAGCCGTAGCCAAACGCCTTGAAGTATCAAATGAGCTGTCAAAGAGGCCTGCAGGGCTAGAGTTTGAGAAAATCATCCACATTGACTGCTCAAAGTGGAAGAGCAGAAGAGCAATGCAGAGGGAAATAGCAGAGCAGCTGAACCTTCCCAACTGGGTGATGGAGATATTTGACAAGCAAGATGAGGAGGATGATTTCAATGGATTAGATGAAGGCTCTCGAACTGAGATAGCACAAGTTGTCAGAGAGATCTATCAAAGAACACAGAATCAGAGATTCTTGGTGATCCTGCACAATGGAAGCAGTGAGGAGATTGATATATTCGACTTCGGTCTTTCTTTAGATCGATATTCTAGTAGCAAGATGTTGTGGACTTTCCAAGGGAGGTTTCGGCTTGATCCCAAGATGATAGACAGTGTGAAGAAGAGCACAACAACAGGTGTTCTTCTTTCAGCTTCAGGAGATAGGCAAGATCCACGGGAGCTTTGGTCATATCTAGTGAGCCACGAGGCTGCACAAGTTTCCAGCAATAAGTATGGCCATGTCATCATCGATCCAGCTATTGCTGCTCAGTGCGTCTTGTATATGTTGAAGCAATCTTGGATTGGCTCTCGCATCATTGACTATGACAGGGCTATCCACACCAGTAACTATTGGATATGCGATGGCATCATTGCACTGACAGACATTGACAGAGCATGGAGAGTTGGTGATGTTTTGCAGCATGAGATGCCATTCTTGAACATTGACACCCATCTCAAGAATGATGAATCAGCAGGAATGGCTTCCTATCACCTGGCAAAGTCTGCTGAGCACATGCCGTACTGGATATCGACAACAACTTCAACTTCCGGATTTGTAGTGAGCCCCTCCGGTGTAATTCCTGAGAATATGTTTTCGCACTCGCACATGCTCGGCGTGCTCAAGCTCTCAAGGTGTGCCTTCAGTTTCTCATCGCCTCCATTCCTCTGTTGCCACAGCCTGAGATTCCTGTGGCTTGAACATTGCCGAGACCTCGTAACAGGGAGAAGTACAACAGATCATCACCATACAGAGGCAAACAAGGAGTTGGGCAACCGGACCACGACATCGTGGGAATGCTTCCAGAGCTTGTGGGTGCTTGACCTGCGCTACACAGGTTGGGATCAGATCTGGTCCACAAGGGTGATGGATCTAATGACCCAGCTCAGGGAGCTAAACGTGATGGGAGCTGAAAACTGGGACATGAGCCATTTGCGAGGACGGCTGCGTAACATTCGCAAGTTCCGGGTAACAAAGTCCACGTGCTTCTTCAGTGACAACATGCTCTCGGAGATGGAAAATATGGAGCTTCTTGATTTTCCGGGAAACATCATCAGACAAGGCATGGCAAGCAACAGTAGCCTCAAGACCGTGATTATTGATGAATTTGATGGTTTAAAAAAATCTTTTAAGGGCAATATGGAATTGAAGAACTTGTACATGAAAAGAATTTCGAGGGGTCTCGAGGAGCTGGACCTGTCGGATACAAGTGTGAAAACTCTTGACCTCAGAGGAGTGGAAGCCAAATCACTCCCTAAGCGGATTATCCTGCTAGGCTGCGAGAAGCTTGGCACAATTGTATGGGCACTGCGTGTGACAGATGGATGGTGGCCGGAAGTGCTGCACATTGACACCACCTCAACATTAACATCAGCTTTTTTTTCTTTGCGAACAACATTAACATCAGCTTACGCAGGGGAGGCACCACTTGCACTTCCACATGCTGATCGATCCCTCCAACAGTATAAAGAAGAAACGTTTAAGGGTGGATGGCGGATTACTCTTACAGAAACAAGGCTTCTTAGGTCGCTTGCTTCTGTAAGAAATTTTTTAAAACATGCATCCGTACACATTGATATTTGTCCTGCAGCTACTGTTGGTGGTAGCTACGCCCAAGGAATGAATGGCAACAAACTAGTGCAGGCCCAACCACAAACAAGTACCATCGTGAGCTCTGAGTACGTCTTGAAGACTGGCCCAGTTGAAGTGATGATTATATGAGAGTGCCCCAAGATAGTTACAAAGTGGAACCGACCGACATGTATCATAAAGGTGATCATGCACAGGTAGGGCAACAAACTTTTGGAGAATGCTTTAAGTGCTAGTACTAGCGCTTTATCATTGCCTGACATTATATATCAGACTGCTACATCGCTGCACGTGTATGATAACTCGTCCATCACCAGTATATCTGCACCTCCCCAAGGACCAGGATGGTATGATCTAGGATGGTGCCCGGTTGAGAGGTGCCCCAAGTTGCGCACAGTCTTCGCCGTTCCCCAGCGCGGTGCTGTGTGTCGGTTTGGTTATCCGCACACATTCTGGGCATCCCAGCTCCTTTCTGCACGCCACATCTATAGCATGCCAATAGAAGGTTATTGTGAATACGTGGATTTCTTGCACCTGGACTACTGCCCCAGGCTCGTACATGTGCTCTCGGTGTCCATACGTCCAGGTGGATTCATGACCCATTTGATTACCCTAGAGATATTGTGGTGCGGAGATCTTAGGCAGGTGTTCCCTTTGAGCCTTGAGCTTCAAGAGCAGGATAATATTCTAGAATGTCCCATGCTGAGGCGCATCCACCTGCACGAGCTCCCCATGCTGCATTACATCTGTGGTCGTAGGATATTTGCGCCTAAACTCAAGATCATCAAGATCAGGGGCTGCTGGAGCCTCGAGCGTCTGCCTGCTATCGGACGCAACACCAAGCCGCCCATGGTGGATTGCGAGAAGGAATGGTGGGACAACCTAGAGTGGGACGGGTTGGAGAAGTACCATCACCCTTCCCTCTACAAGCCGAGCCACTCGGTGTACTACAAACCCCAGCTGCCCAGAGGCACCATACTCAGGTGAGCTTTACATCTAGTACATACATACACTGTGCTAGTAAGCTCTTGTGCTGAACCAAATTATTACTCTCTTTTGTCTACATACAAAAAATCAGACTAGTATTGTAGTAGTATGTGTGATTGATCATTCATACCATTGCTGGTTTGTATGCTGCAGGTAATCGATCTCTTCCGTGGATTGATATTGAGCTTATTGCAACGCAATATGCATGATCGCCGTGCATGCAGTGCTGCCTCCTACATAACTGAAGCTTTCCTGCCGTGTGATTATGTGTTGCTTGCCCTGCTTCCCGCTTGATTAGTTTGTGTTGTTCTCTCTACATCTGTGTTGCCTTGCTGTGGCTTCCAGTTTGGTTTGGTTTGATTATCTTTGCTCAGAGCTTTCGAGCAAATGTGAAATAAATCAGAGTGGGCATTCAGCTTATGAGCGCACATGAGCTCATGAGCGCTCGTGTCGCTGCTTGCTCATTCTGCATGTGTGGTTCCTTATTACAGTATATGAACTGTTGGGTATGTGGTGATTGTAATTTGTAAGCATGAACGATGATGGTGGTGATATGCGTGTGTGTGCGTGGTGTTGTTTGTTGTGGTACAACTATGAACATTGTCACTTGTTATGTGTTGATTGCAAGTAAGCTGGATGGTGTTAATTCCCAGGCAGTTTTATATATGCTCATTGTTCCATCGTGTACTTGGACCTGATGTGCTGGCTCTTTTGCCTATTAGGCTGGCTCGCATGTGCTTCCTGGCCTGTATTTCCTTTGCCAAGATAGATGTATATTATATACATGGTCTGGCATATATATGTAGTAAAGCTTGTTCACCATCCTTCGGAGATAGTGTGCTGCGGAAAAGAGTTCATCCTGCCACTTGTTAATATTTGTGTTGGGGCACCGACCCTTATACAGACTGCCCTTTGCTTAGAATTAACTGCATACAATTTCATATCTTTGTTTTTTTTGGTACAGCTTTGTGCAACTCGCATCTGTATGCTGCATTCGATAGTTTCCTCGATTCGACTGGCTCGGAAGATTCAAAACATTGCTCAATTGGCATCATGATCCTGCTGCTTTGCGATATTTTGTCTCCATCTTTAATTCCTGTAGCTATCCCAGCTACAAGCATAAGGCCGATTTCTTCTTTTGGAACTTGAGCAATCGATTGAGTGATCTATATTCTTTGCTCTCGAATCCACCCATCTTCTAGTGACTTCTGAATGATCTATTTGGTTTCTGCTCAGCTAAAGACTTATCTACATTATGCTGACTGTCTCGCCTCACACCTGCACTCGATCTACCTTTCTGCTCTTCTGCTAGCTTTATGCATCTCCCCTTCTTGTACTTCAGTGCATACAGGAAGTCGGGAACAAAGGCGGATGCCCGTGAGTTTATCTGAAGATTGTTGAAGAACTGACACTACTAGGAAAAACCTTATACACAGAATCTTAGCAGCAGCGCGGTCTAAAAACAGACGCTACTGCTAATTAGCAGCAACGAGCTTTAGAAAAGAGCGCTGCTAATGACTGAGTAGCAGTAGCGCTCTAGGTGAAAAGAGCGCTACTACTATAATTGTCACGGTGTTGCCTCCAGGCTAGATATAGTAGTTGCGCCCTTCCCGTGGACGCGCTACTGCTAAAGAACTTAGTAGCAGCGGTTTTGCTCAAAACTCGCTGCTGATAAGTATGACCGCAACTAATTAAGTTTAGTCCCATACTGCTAAGCGAACAAGGTGTTTACCACCTTAAATATGTTGCTTCTCAACCTATCTCGAGCACTTGGTCTTCATTGAACTATATGTGTATGATTTGTGGTTGCAATATGAATCCTCGCCTGTACCTATACAGGTACAGTGAGGATTCATGTTGACTATTTAGATTATACACAAAAAGGTCAATGATGACCAATGTATATTTTTGATGTTTTTACTAAACAAAAGAAATAATTGCTTCCATTAGCAGTAGCGGTTTTTCCCAAAACGCGCTGTAGATAAGTTAGCTATAGCGCATTTTCTGTACGTGCGCTACTGCTAGTTCGAGTTAACCATCCCCCGCATCAAAATTTCGCTAAGTCCTCCTTTCCCCCCCCACCGGCCTGTTCCCCTACTCCCTGTTGCCGCCGTCCGAGCCCGAGCACGCCTGCGCCCTCACCGCCGCCGCCGCCGCCCGCCCTCAACCTCACCGTCGCCGCTCTCGACCACACTGTCGCCGCCGTCGACCTCACCGCCGCCGCCCTCGACCGAGCCCGCCGAGCCCGCCGCCCAGGACCGCCGCCCTCCCGATCTCGAGCCCGCCCTCGCCGCCCCTCCGTCGCCGAGCACCTCCCCGCCACCGTCTCTCCCTCTGTAAGCCCCCCACCCCTTCCCAACCCCTCTCTCTTTGCTTAGTTAGTAGATGATTTTAGTAGTAGTAGATGTTAATTTAGGGTTCATAGATAATGATTTTTAGAAGTAGTGGATATTAATTAGTAGTAGTGATGGTAAACTAGTTGTATAATTAGCAGTAGTACATGTTAATTAGTAGTAGATGTAGTAGTTAGATGTTAATTAGTAGTAGTAGATGTGCTAGTTTCTTTCTATTTATAGTAAGTTTATATTTAGTAAGAACTAGTGAATTAATAGAACTAGTTTAGTTTTAGTTGAACTAGTTAAGTTTTAGTTGAACTAGTATAGTAAGTAAATTAATAACTAGTTGAACTACTTCATTTTTAGAAAGAACTAGTTTTTTTCTTTTTATACTAAGTTTATATTTAGTAAGAACTAATTGAATTAATAGAACTAGTTGAACATGCCATATTTGGTGTTATTTCTTAGTTTAAGCAATTATTTCATGTTTTGGTTACACCTCCGAGTGGCCTATGTTTTGCCGGAGTGTTGATTAATTTCCGTTCCGGTAAATTTCAAGCGCTCGATATGTCCTTTTTTAGCAAAGGTCATGCCGGATTTTTCCGTGAATTCTGGCATGACTTGTGCTAGAATATGTGAGAAATATCGAGTGGCCTGGATTTTCTTTAAAAACTAATGATCTAATTTAGGTTTTTTAGTATATATATTTAATTGTACAAGTTTAATCTTTGAATTATGAACGTAGGAAATGTCGTACTCGGACGACGACAGTCTCCCGGGGGAGTGCAGCTGGTGCCACGACGATCGAGGTATGTGCGATAGGTTCGTTGAGCTGGACGAAGATCGGCGCTTCAGCATTAAGCTCGAAGAGACCTTCGATGTTGAAACGGTACGCAACAACGACAAGTGTTTTTTTTCATAATTAAGGATGACTTCAACTATTTCAACGTCTAATTTTCATCTTTTACAATTCGACTAGCTTATCCTATGCCATGCAAGACGTTATGTCTTGGAGAGGATGGGTTTTGAAGACCATGAAAATTTTCAAACAAAGAAAATACACCTAAGGACCCATCATGATATCGATTTTGAAGTAAATATGTATAATTCTCAGAGCGTAACCCATTTTGGTTGTCAAAATTGGGAAGCACTTTGCAAAATGTATGGTTTTTATGAGAGTATGATTGTCACCATGGATCTTGGTCATCCTGACATCGAGCAAGACAATATGGACATTTGGGTCCTTGTTGATACGCTTCCGATTCTACCGCAATGTGAGTTTCTCAAACATAGTTATTAACTAATTTATATTGTTTATTTCAAATAGTTGACAGCTTATTTCCATTGACAGCTTATTTTGAATCTTCAAAGAATGTGCAGAAGATGGTAGACAAAACCCACTACACTGATGGCTCCGAATTAACTTATAAGGAGAAAAA